AGCCGTGAGTCGTGACCTACCCGGCTCCGATGCATCGTACAAATATATACGGATATCATTTAAATTTCAATGAAAGTCTGGCCTTGGCGCTCCGGCCACGTTTTCATTTCCAATCAGAGTGATTTTTCTTACAACAATCGTTGCCTTGCGAACAAAGTGCGCTACCATCAATAAGATTTCTTCAATGACACAAAGGAATCTTTGAAAATAGTAAGATTCAAGAGCTCTCTATCAATATGTCAAAAACTCTCTATCGATATTATTATTATTATTTATCATTTCTGCAGTTATCTCACAAATTCCTTTCCACATTGAAAAAGTTAACTTTTCAACGTTGAATGTCACAATTAACCCCGACTTAATTTCCATTATCGATACAGAAAGTAAATAAAAAAACAATGATATTGAATCATTTGTGTTTGAATTTGATATATATTTAAAAAATATATATCAAATTCAAACACAATTGCGATTATTGCACCTCATAGCCCAAGCATGCCTAGGCAGTTTATCTGTTAGTTTCCTGAGGATAGAATTCATGAATACGTTTCAAAATTGAATTTTTTCGTCCCGGATAAGTTGTATACTGCAAGATACAACTTATCTGTTTTCAGTAATAAAGATTTCTCACGTCTTTGCGGCTATTGTGTATTATAAACGTTTCGTAAGAATATAATTTGACATTCTATTATACAATAATATTATTTTCCTAAATGTATAGTTATTAAAATAATTAGAGTTCAACGTCACAAAGATTGTTTTATTGCGCAGTGGAACACGTGGTAATGATAACGTCCATATTACAATATCGTTAATTGTGCGCGTCCTGTTTTAAAAACTTATAAACAGCACAACTGCCTGATGTATGCACAAAATAAAAAATACATTTATAAATGTTATACATACGTACAAAATTTATGAATAAATAATTTATATATAAGAAATAAGAATAAACATATGATTTTATGTTTATTATTTTTTCTAACATTTAACTTTTATGTTAATTATTTTATATATATTGTAGTATTAATTTTTTTTATAAATTATTAGATTTATAAAAAGTTTCGCAGAAATGGAACGGATGGCCAGCAGATAAAGAATAACTGATGTACATTGTATAACGTATTCTGCACTTTAATATCTGAATCGCTTACAATCGTTGCAACATGGCAAAGATGGTGGGAATAGAACAAGAATCGTCAAGCCATTAGTAGTAAAAATAAAAATTAATGGCGTGGTATAATAGAACAAAAGCTACGTAGTGGCCGTAGTGCAATCCTGGCTTGTACAAAAAAAAAGGCGAAAATGAATATGAAATCTTACATTAATATGAGATTAAACATAAAAGATGATATTAGATTACAATAAATGAATGAGAGGAGAAATTTACAGATTTCTACGTAAATTTTGAAATTTCGTGATTATTCCTCTTTACAGAAATCGCACGTATTTTAGTTCTGACTTATAAGGATTAATTGGATTAAGTTCTTTGTTCAGAATAGGACCGATGAACAGCACTGCTTGAGGAAAAAAGCGTTATAGAGTTCTTTTTCAGGGCATTGCTCGATAGCCCAGAGCGACTCGTGGGTTGTGCCTCTGTGTGTACTTATGAGGCAGTCTATCTAACTTAATACGCATCCTTTCATATTCCTTCAATCTTCATGTCTCTTTCCCTGCTTCGTTATGTTTTCCGCTCTCTGTCTCCGAAAATAGTCTCATTAATATTTCAATTAATTTCAAGCATTAATTTGTAATCACCGTTCTCGAAAATAAATTAGAAAGGCTACGATTATAACAATCCTAAATAACACAGAATTACATTAAATGAATCTATTTTGGTGTACTAGACGTCACTATGTCGTCTTTTAATATCATTCTGCTACTTGGAATGCAAATCATCTTCAATTTTGGCTGCGATATGTTAATTATATTGTTTTACATGTCCCGATGCATTTAAATGACAAAGAAACGTACAATATCGCGTTTTACTTTAGCCAAGACATTCTTGTTAGAAGACTTCGCTTCAATTTTATTCGAAACAGCATCGGCTTGTAATTTTCGATTACCGTTGAATTTATTATAATGAGGATTCAAATTGTTCTTGCTTTGATCGCCGTGCGATTTCAGATCCCGCGTAACTTGTAACGGTCGACCTTTCTCGCTCGGATTCGCTCGCCGGGACAGGGCTCGAGAAAGGAAGGAGACACTGGATTAGTAAGCAACAATATTTATTTAGAGAAGAAAAGTGATCTAGAACATAATGAGAATAACACCTGTGGGGAGTTACGAATACCCCGGAACGATTCTTACTCGCGGTAACTTAATGTCTAAGAACGAAACTTAACCTAGTAACTAGAACAACTTAACCTAACGGCGGAACTTAACCTAGACGCGGCGGAACTAGTCGGCGGTCGGACTGGGGAACGGCGGTTGGTACAAGGGGAGGGGATCGTGGTCAGGAAGGGTCCCGCGGTGTCGGGAGGCTCAGGAAACGGGATATCGCTTACAAGGGGACAACGCATGGTGTAGGACACCGATTTTGAAAAGGCTTATATATGTTAAAGTACTCTAGTAGTAGATTATTTTAGCAAAGGGACACGACCCCATTCGCAGCCGTTTTCGAGAAAAACCGGGTTAAAGTTTATACCGTTCCATGTATACCGCTCG